AAACATGTCAAACTTAATGATACAGGGCTCAAAGGCAGAGGAATGCCTCTCTCGCGTGCTCTAAATGTCACGCGCAAACGCTCCCTCCCTCGGGCACTCGCTTTCGCAGCACTTTCTCCCACTGTGAAGGTGCTGCGCGCATCAGTTCCCCCCATTCGTCAGTTGACGCTCAAATAGACACAGGTAATAAAAAGATTAAACTTAAGTCATGTTCATGTTGTGAAACACTATCAGAATGTCCACTGTTGATGATATTAGACTTCTGTTTTCAATAGCGATTTTAATATAGAAAGTCCTCGGCTATGCAGAGACCATTTTTAATCAGAAATCTAGTGTACATAGTTTTACGTTAGGAAATGCAGTCTCGAATTTACAAACAGTCAGCAAGTACCAAAGAACAGATCTAACACATTGATCAAATGTAGTTTTCAGTCACGCTCATGTCAGTCATATATTCAACTTGTTTAGTTTTGCCTTCATTCATTTTAGATTTCCGTCTTTAACACATGATTTATTTACAGCACATTTTTAAACATAAAGTTTAACTAACTCATTTCTAATATCTACCTTTTTATCTTCCTCATGCTGACAGTCAGTGCAGAACATTTTACTAGTTATTTTGCAAGACAGTTGTATTCAGACAAAGTCCCTTTAAGTATTTTATTGTTTTTTATCAAGATTAAAGTGTAATTTAGACTTAATCAGTTAACTATGAAAGTTAAAATAATTAGTCAAATTATTTTGTTGTGTAAATCAAAAATATACAGTTAATATTTCTTTAGGAGGCTAATAATACTGACCTTATTTTTATTTAAAATAAAAACGGCTTTTATTCACGAAATAAACAATAAGAAATAAGACTTATTATGCAATGACTGTAAAAAATATGGACGACGCGACAGCCCCTTTTGCCATTGAACGCCTTGAGGGCACAAACTGTCGCAAAAGACTGCTGAAATTGGAGCCTGGACATGCGCAGAAGGACTGTCTGAGGAGCCAATGGAGGAGCGAAAATGAGCGGAATTGAGCTTCCAACCAAACGCTTTATGTAAAATCAACCACGCCCCCCGAACTTCTCACTTGACTGCCGGTATCTGCACTATAACAAGGCTCGCTGATGTAAATAGAAGCACTTACATTTAAAAACACAGTATAATATACGGTTTAAAAACGGTGTGATTTAAGCTGTTATACTTTAATAAAAGCAATACATGTTGGACTGCAGAAATAAACGACCTTTTATACACTCTAGCCTGAATATGAGCACAAATAATATATTCTCTTATTGTTATATTTGTTGTTGGTATTTGTTATCTTCATAGGGGTAGAAATAACACTTGTAAAATATGAACAATAACATATAAACAACACGAACATTTTTAAAAAGGTTATTACTTTTAATTATCTATCAACAGAACCCAAAATATACCCTACACTATAACGATTTACCGTGCGGGAACAATTGTGCGTTCAGAAGATAAATACAGCAAGATTTTTAAATATCAACAGGATATTTACACATTCCAACCCTGCAATTTGTCAATTTGTGCAAAAAAAAAAAAAAAAAACTTTGCACTATTAATACAATGTCCATCTGCAACATCGCTAGTATATTGTTTATTGATTTTCGTTTGAATTGTTTATTGATTTAATTTTTTTGCCTCCATTTTCATTTGGTTTATTCGATGCCTTCATTATATCTGGCAACGAGGAATTTCATTTTAATGTTTTGTTGGAGTTTTCAAATAAAACGCCAACAGTAAATGATGTAAATAAATAATATCTATCATTTACAGCTCTATTAGGCTATATAAGATTCGGTTTCAAGAACCTTATAATGTTTTATAACAGCAAATTCACTAGATTACTTAATAACATGCCGAAACTTAAAATGCAGAGACGTACTGTAAAGCAAGTTCAAATAACCTTACAGGAGATCAACGTGGAGATTATTATTTTAGACACATAAAGAGAATTACTGCTAACGATCACCTGTATTTTCCCCGTACTCAATTTTATTGTTATTTAATACTTGTGCAATCAATACAGGTTTATTGTTATTTATTTAGTCCTTTATTTGAATATTTGCGATATATGCTGTTTGCATTTTTATTCAAAGGTTAAACTCAGTGCTATACTTTGCGTTTACATCGTAGCCTGCGTTTGCTGACTGCGGTCAACCCATCTGCGGTTCAGAAAGAGACGGTCACGCTATCTGTGCTTTAAATTAAGCTACTCCGTGTTTCGCGGTAAATTAAAGATGCGTGTGTTTAATGCGCTGGAGTTTTAGAATCTTGTTTCACTTTATTTCGTGTGAATGAATTCAAATGATAATCAAAAATCGTCTCTTTTATTCATATTTGGGTAAATAATTATCATGACTTTGCATGTAGGCTATGCTATTATTTCTTTGTTTTGCTGTAATTGTGTTTTATTTGCGAGTTTAAAACATAATTAACAGTATTAAAGTCATTACCCAGCTGTCATGACTATTAACACTCCTTTTCATATTTACAATCTACTATTTAGGTGTTTACTGTGTAAGTATGACTGTTTTATTGGTTTATTTGTATTTTTCTGTAAATATTTTCCCCCTTTTCATGTGGAATGTTGCTAAATTAATGAAAAAAAAATATTGTTGTACAAATGTTTTTTTCCCTACTTAAATATAAATATATAAATAATATGAAAAGCATGTAAAATACAAAAATCATGAAAAATACAGTGTTTTTACTGTATGGTCATATTAGACAAATCATAAAAAAATAAAATCTAACTGTTTTCTGCCAACTCCACCAAGTTATTGTTCTACATGTCCTGATGTACCACTGTGCCCACTTTTCATATCATGTCATACAGTGGTACATCAGGAAATGTAAAACAATAATCTGGTGGAGTTGGCAGAAAACAATTTGATGTTATTTTTTAATGATTTTCCTAATATGACTACAGTAAAAAACACTGTATTTTTCATGATTTTAGCGCGCTATTATTAAAATATTCAACAGTAATATGATATGAAAAGTGCAGCTTTAATTATTATTATTGTTCTTCTTCTCTAGACTGAATCACATTTTTGAGAGTTTAAACATGCTCAAAGTGATGAAACTGCACACATGCCAGAAGTGGCGAAAATTCACATTTGATATCAGTTTTTGAATTGGATGTGACAAAATTGCTTGACAGTGCTACCTCTAAACATTTAATGAAGTAGCCCTCGAGCTACATTTCAAGCACATGTACGGAAATTGGCACACACATCAAACATGCCAGTACCTACAAAAAAAGTCTCTTAGAGCAAAATCTCAAAACAAAACAGGAAGTCAGATATTTTTTACTTTCCTCTGCCAAAAATTTGCAATTTTTTGCCATATCTAGGTGTTGTATTTTAACAAACCCCTCCTATTAAATTTTCTGATCAACACTGTCATTTAAAGGCCTTGGCAATGTTAAATTAAGATCTTTAGTTTTTGTCAAAGGGATTGTCCGTGGTGGTCTCACAAATTTTGGTGTTTCTCCACGAAACAGGAAGTTGTTATAACTCAGGCATGCATTAGCCCCTTTCACACAGTGATACCAGTAAATATCCGGAAAATTTCCGGAACGACTTTACCGGTATATTGAAAAAAGCGATGTTCACACAGGCGAGGACGTTACGGAAATTTTCCGGAAAAGAGCATTCACACATCCATTCCAAAATACCGGTAAATTCTGTCATCATTTACCACAAATGAGCTATAAACGGCTGCGCTTGTATTTGTAAACATTTGACTAAATTTCAAACTCTGTGGATGATCAATATTGTGAACAACTTTCGCAGGATCACTTTCGCATGTCGAGATGTTCATAATATGTGCGTGTGCAGGCGCTCACAGCCTGTTTCACAGGCACACGCAAAGCTTGAAGGTAAACAAACAACGGCTTATCATTAGCATCTTAACGATGATTATTTACACAGTTGCCATTAAGAAGAACATATAAACTTGATCTGACTAACTTCTAGCAGCTAAATGTGTCTGGAAAAATATTCAAAGGCTTTTATCCTCACAAACCGCGCGGACGTAAATGCGTCTGACTGTTGTGATTGGCTAAAGCAGACGTCTCACGTCAGCACGTTCTAGACGTGCACGCGCTTATTACGGGAATCTTCCTTCTGCATTCACACAGCGCAGCATTCCGGCAAATTGCCGGTAATGTTACAACTTCTCTTTCCGGAAAAAAAAGCCAGAACGAATTTACCGGTATTTTCAAAAAGGACCTGTTCACACATACAACCTTTCCGGAAAATTGCCGGCAATTTTCCGGAAAGGTCTGTATGTGTGAAAGGGGCTATTGTCTGATCTCCCTCAAAATTCACATGTTTGACAAAAACCAACAAGCAAAAATGCATGATTATATGGTGTCATGGTTTTATAATCACATAATGTGGTTATAATGGAAGTCAATGGTGCAAAAACAGCCACCAACAGCCACCAACAGTAAATTCTGGAGAAAAAATGAAAAATAAATAAAAACTAACAATGCATCAAACGCATTGTTGTTTTTTCACGTTTAAAAAAAACAGTTCACATAAAATTTTTAAATTGAAAATACAACATTTTTTTCACCAAATCAGAGACATCATTTATGAATTCGGCAATTAAAGAGTTTTGTAATTTTCTAAACTACTTACTAGTTTTGACACAGAAAATGTTATGGCCAAGTTAAGACTCAAAATTACCACAGAGTGAATGAAAACATCCCTAACAGTTCATAAGGTATATGTTAAGTTTGTTTACAGTTACAGTACAGCTCTATTTCAGCAGAAGTTCACTTGTTGTGATGCAATAATAAAAACAACATCAACACTGATAATTAATTAAATAAAATATTCCAATTGGAAAGTGTACTATATTTTCTTCCATCTTTTCAATCTCTTTACTACATTCTTGTTTTGCAATTAGGAGATTTTTTACAGAACAAATAATGTTGTTAATTTTTTAATTTGATATCTTCCTCAGGATGCATTGAAGTTTATGCACCATGGGAAAAGATGCAAACTTACAACTGGTGACATTGATCATGCCCTTAAACTGAAAAATGTGGAGGTGAGAAAACTGAAGCCACTTGAAATTGATTTCCTCATGCAGTCTGAACCAGAATCTTCATTGTCCTTTCTAGATTTTTTATTTTTTCTGTGTAGCAGAATTTGGTTGTACTTGTCTTTTTTAGCCACTGTATGGATTCCAGTCCGAGGAGTTCATCCCATTTCGCTTTGCAAGTGGAGGTGGCAGAGAATTGCACTTTTATGAAGAAAAAGAAGTGGATCTTAGTGACATCATTAATACACCCTTGCCTCGTGTACCTTTAGACGTTTCACTAAAAGGTAAGAAACAGGCATCTCTCATATAAAATTATCTTCAAATAAATTAAGCCAGGTATGTTTTCATTATTATTATCTGGACAGTCCTGAACTACAGTAATCAATAATTATCTAAAACCTGTGCTCAACTGGCGTAGTAATGCAAGCTTGCCTGCAAAACATAGAATGAACTTAGAAAAGCTTCCCATTATATGGAACAAAGCCTCCGTCAAGAAACTTAACTAAACAAGTCTTAAAGGGTCACGAAACACCAAGACACATTTTTTGAGCTGTTGACAGTCGTATATGTGTCCCACACTGCTAAAAACACTATTAGGACACCTATATTTAGCTAAAAAGTGTAAATTGGTTGTTTTTGCGTTATTTCAAGCAAATTCGTACTTCCGGTTTGAAACAAATTTTTGAAGCTGCGTCACGGCCATGACATAAAAGCGTTTTATTCCAGCGTGCAGACTGGGCGTCTGTGCCAGAGTGAGTCTTATTACGTCTTACAGTGTGTTGCATTAATGCATGAGTAAAGCTTGGTTTAAACCAATCAGCGCGCTCTATTGTGCAACTTCACTAATATTCATTGCTGTTAGAGTGTAGACGGCAGAGACGCCACGTTGTGTTGGCAAAACAAGCGTGAAGTGTTGCTTTTATTGTTTGCTGCCGTTAAGTTTTGTTTTCATTTTCTCTCTGTGAGAGCGCAGACTCACGTGTGGATTAATAGTGTACGCGACGCGCGACAACAATAACTTACGTGTCTAAGGAGGAACATTGTTTACCTGAGAGCTGTTCTCATCTGCAAACGCTGAGATCTGGATTCGCTTGTAGTCTCCTCTAAATAAAGACGTGGCTCTAGTTGCTGTGGATTGTCCTGTCTCTACAGATTTGGTAGGTGAGCGACCAGTGCTCTTTGTTTATTCAGTTTGTATTTTATTCGTATCAAACAAACTATTGCACCAGTGTAAACAAGTTAGCACTAACAGTTACATCTAAACCATAACCTCGTGTTGGATTTTGTGACCGGAATAACACACACGGCTTTTTGACGCTACCTGCCGTGTGCATCTAAGTTTCCGGGAAATGCTGAGTTTTTTTTTTTTCTCTCATTCGCCGTGCGGTATCAAACATTGCTTGAAAAATACACGCTTAGAGCAGATCCTCGAATCAAATATCTCGTTTGCCGGGAGGGACATGAATGAATTCCCTGAATGAAAGAGCCAAACTGCAGTTAAAGTCCACCATTTAAAAATGTGGCAAATAATTCTACAACAGATGTACATGTAAACACAGTCACATTGTCCGCTGTGGTTGTGTGTTGTGACTCTGAAATTCAGCGCGCCCAAATAGACACTCCCACACCAAGCCTCTTTTCTTCCTCCGACAACCCCCCCCCCCCCCCAACAGAGCTGGACACGCCCACTTTTCAGACTTTTTCCAAAGTACAGGTGTGAAAACACCCTGCTGAAACGAGGGGGTTTCATGGCCCTTTAAAGAAAGCAAACAAACAAAATAAAATTAATGAAAAAGTGTCAGTGACTAAGGTCATCGTATTTCGGAGTATGCCGGCTAAAAGAGAGACATCAATGTATAATGTATAACACTCTTCAAACTAAAATGCTCCAGCGATTGTGCACAAATCCAAATCAATGCATGTGAAAGCAATAATTTAATCTAAAACAAACTGATGCTTGCATGGAGAACTTCACTATTGTTTACTTTAAAGGAGACAGATTGCAGTGCAACTTTTATTTCTGGAGAGATACAGAGATGTTATTGCGGCTCGTGTATCAGTGTATATGTTCACCAGATTTCTATTTCCACCTCAAACACCGGTCGAAAGTAAAATTGAATTAAATCATAACAATACATTTTGACTCAACATGGCTCCTGTAGATGGATTGTATTTTTATAAAGCAGATAGGAATAGAGTCAGGATCAAGATATGACAACTTAATTCTCGGCCATCATTCTTATTACGCTCACGATTGTGTCAATTTGCATATTTTTCTTGTCGCTAAAATCCATAATGCGTAATTAAACTTTAAATAATAATTAATAAGACAAATTTTAATAATGAGGAGTTATTTCTGTGTATAAAATACATCCACATTCCAGACATGAGCTGTAAAGAAAAAAAAGAGCTGTACTTGAGCTGTAAAGCGCAAGTTCCCTTATGTTTCTCGTGTTTTAAATGGCTGTTACATTAACATATTGCAACAATTTTAAATGATTAAATATTATGTAACAGAAATTAGCTCATTTTATGAATATTAATAATCCACAACAATGGTTTATTCTTAACTATTAATATTCCGGCTTAAGCTTTAGTCAATTTGGTCAAACAAACATATGATTGTATATGATCCTGCCCACTTGACCGAGCGGACTCTCAGATTATGAATATTAATTATCAACAATAACGAATTATTATTAATCATTAATATTCTGTATCAATTCATTGTTAATTTGACCAAACAAACATAACTAGAGCTGCCGCTCTTCCGAGTGGACACGGCAATGATCTATTCATTTAGAAAAAGGAAATTTAATTGCTACTTCTTGTGAAGTAGATTAATCATTCATACGTTTTAAACAACTTATAATAGCTAGGCAGGGGAATCTGTATTTCAGTGACATTTTCTCGTGAGGCAAACAATACAAATTCATTTGATTATAATAGGATTTATTGACTAGTCAGACGGATATCGAACAAACGCACAAACATACATTAAACATAGAACAAAGGTAAACCACATGGAAATATCGGGTCTATAGAACGTGTAACAACAAAGAGAAATAGTAAAGCTAGGAAATAGAGATTTCAGTTAAAAGAGTGACAAAACTTTCAGTTCCACATGCACCATTAAGGACCACTAAGATTATAAAAACAAAAACACCTTTTTTGATAAAAGGGGCACAGCTTAATCGCATAACTAAAAATACCTGGTCTTTCATGTCTGGAGGTCTCTCTTTGTATGCGAGTCTCTCTTCCGTCGTGATGAAAACTCTTTTTGATGTCCTACTTGATGCGTGGAGTTTGTAATGCAGTTCAGACGAACACGATCGCAAACTTTAAACTGAGTTTACTTTGCCGGAAAATAAAGAAAGCGTGGCGGGAAAAGTCCATGCGGCTTAGAAAGCCGCGTGGCCCTCAAAGGGGCCACGTTTGATGGGTTCTTTGTTCGGACGTTCTCTCTAGGATGTTTGGGGAGAAGTCTGGTTATACCTGCGGGTCACGTGACAACCCGTTCGGCATTCTGACCAATGATTTCAGGGGAAAGTTTGGGCTCGAATCATTCCTTTGTCTTGAGGCTGCTCGTATGCAAATTTGAGTGTCCGCCCAAAGCATGCGGACAGGCATTTAATACAGGGCTTTAAAGAATAAAGCAATGCGAGTTATGATCTTGCTCTATGCATCATGTGTTGTAAAATGTCAGCAGAAACCCTTCGGTACCAAACATGGGAGGTTTAAAGCAGGTCGCACACCAGAAGCGCCGCTCGGCGCCGCGACACAGCGCGTACATGACAGTTTAAAGTATCACACACCAAACGCGCACATTCGAATGATATTTAACATGAATCTTATCAGATGGCGCTCTGTGGCGCGGCTGAAAAATGAACTGCGTCCTGAGCCGTGGACGTGTGCCGCCGACAGCCGCCGACTTGCGGCGCCGGTGTGTGTATCCTGATAGAAACCTATGTTTAGAATTCAAAAATGCATGGCGCTGCGCGGCGCGCCGCCGAGCGGCACTTCTGGTGTGCGACCTGCTTAAGAGTACATCAACATAATTTTTCATATCCTTACATTATTTATGCTTTAAAAACGGCCTAAAGGGAACAGGCATACAGGTTATAAGAGAGGTTACACAGGTAAGAAAAGTCATAAATGAGATACAAAGTTTACAAAACATAACACTTTAGTTTTGTGCTGGTCCAGGATTTTTTTTAGTTAATTTTCTTTTTGTCGGAACAGCCTCGTGTGTGTGTGTGTGTGTGTGTGTGTGTGTGTGTGTGTGTGTGTGTGTGTGTGTGTGTGTGTGTGTGTGTGTGTGTGTGTGTGTGTGTGTGTGTCTGTGTGTCTGTGTGTGTGTGTCTGTGTGTCTGTGTGTCTGTGTGTGTGTGTGTGTGTTTGGCCAGCAGTGTCTTTGAAGTTCCAGGCTTATCTCTCCAGTCCCCCTAGATCACTTAAGCTGTCACGAAAATCCAGACTTCTTGGATCCAGGAGTCGTAATATTTTTTTTCTGGAGAAAGTCTTATTTTTTTTATTTCGGCTAGAATAAAAACAGTTTTTAATTTTTTACAAAACATTTTTGGTACAAAATTATTAACCCCTTTAAAGCATTTTTTTTCAATAGTCTACAGAACAAACCATCGTTTAAACAATAACTTGCCTAATTACCCTAACCTGCCTAGTTTACCATATTAACCTAGTTAAGCCTTTAAATGTCATTTTAAGCTGTATAAAAGTGTCCTGAAAAATATCAAGTAAATTATTATTTACTGTCATCATGGGAAAGATAAAATAAATTGGTTATTAGAAATGAGTTTTTAAAACTATTACGATAAGAAATGTGCTAAAACAATCTTTCCTCTATTAAACAGAAATTGGGGAAAAAAATAAACAGGGGTGACAATAATTCAGGGGGGCTCATAATTCTGACTTCAACTGTGTATATATATATATATATATATATATATATATATATATATATATATATATATATATATATATATATATATATATATATATATATATACATATACAGTTTTTTTATTTTATTTTTATTTTTTTTTACAGTGTTTATATATCCCAATAGTGACTTGCTATTTGGTTAGTCATTAGTGCTACTAGTATTACTGCTACATAATCATTATGTTGGCATGAGAAAACCAACATACTGTTATAATATTTAAACTTAATTTGACAGAAAGCTGTCCTGTGTTGTGATTTGTTTTGATATCTTTTAATACTGGTCACACTTACATTTGTCAAATAAATAATTTAAGCATTGTATTTTCAATAAAAAATTTGGCAAGCCATTTTTACCTTAAGTCCAAGTTCATTTTTTGACTGTCATAGATACATCTGCGTTGATTTATTATTATTTATACTGGCAAGAAGCTGTAATGTATTATTACTCTAAGCTGTCAATCAGATCCATAGCAACAAAACTAAAGAATAACCCTGTAACCATTTATCAACAGTGATATCTCTGTATCGGAACATTGTAAGTAGCTGGGTGTTGGCTCGTTTGCTAGCCAATGGGACTTATTGTATGATACTGCTAGTAGTGATTAGCTAAATGTTATAACATGCTTAAAATGCTTGCTAAGTATTAGGATTTGATTAAACATGTAAATGAGGCCTGCCAGTTAACAACCCAGTGGACCCTTGGAACCACTTAAAACACCCTAGCAACCACCTAGCAATGTCTTAGCAACACTTTAGCAACCACCCAGCAACCACTTAGTAACCTCTATGCTTCCTGCCAACTGCCTTTGAGTCCCAGCGCAGTCACGTTGGCTTTTTCAAGCCAACATCAAAGTTTGTCAATGACCTTTTGTTTCTAGTTTTTAGACAAAAATCCATGCGGGCCATTTTGTGCTGTAAAACTGAACATTTTAAGCTGCTCAACTACAGTAAAAGTGTCTTTGCATTTTCTTTGAAATAACAATTGTTCGATTGCCATTTCAGCAGTGTGAATTTTAACAGTGTACTTTATTTCAGGGTCCCCACGGGTCCTTAAAAAGTCTTGAAATGTCTTAAATAAAATTTTCGATTTTTAAGGTCTGAAAATGTCTTCTGAATAAAATCTGAAAATGTCTTCTAAATGAATTCTTTAATTTTCCATAAGGAGGTCTTAAATTTCATGTGGGATCTTAAATTTCATGTCTGACTTGTCTTATGGCGGCAAATCAATGCCAATATAAATCATGCGCAGCGGTGATGTTTAATAATAGGTGACGACTTACTTTCAATAATGAGATATTTCTTGTAATAATTAATCTCATATGCCTATTCTTACCATCATGACCAAGTCATATAATGACTTATCAAAATAATGAGATATATTCTTTTAACAAACTTTATTACTTGGGAGAGAAAGAGTAAGTTATATCATGCGGCAAAAGATCTCTCCATTAAACAGAAATTGGGGAAAAATATACATGGGCTAATAATTCAGGACGAATAATTCAGACTTTAAATGTGTGTTTTTGAACCATTTGATAAAGTTTAGCACTTACATTTAAACTGAACTCAAGCCAAATGTGTTAAAATTTATAAAAATCTTTTTTATTTTTCATAGACTCATTGTCCTTGACTCATTTTTTATGAAGAACAAGTCAAAATAAATTGGATGGACAATAGTATACAAAATAGGCTATACATGCATGCAGTGCATAAAGTACAAAGGTTTATAGTAAATATATTGCCATTAGTTTGTTATTCCACTTTACAGTTAAAGTCAGAATTATTAGCCAGCCTGAATTATTAGCTCCCTGTTTATTTTATCCTAATTTTTACTTAACGGAGAGATTTTTTTCAACACATTTCTAAGCATTATAGTTTTAATAACTCATTTCCAATAACTGATTTATTTTATCTTTGCCATGATGACAGTAAATAATATTTGACTAGGTATTCTTCAAGACACTTCTATACAGCTTAAAGTGACATTTAAAGGCTTCACTAGGTTAACTAGGCAGGTTAGGGTAATTAGTCAAGTTATTGTATAACGATAGTTTGTTCTGTAGACTTTGGAAAAAAAATAAATAGCTTAAAGAGGCTAATAATATGGACCTTAAAATGGCTGTTAAAAAATTAAAAACTGCTTTTATTCTAGCCGAAATAAAACAAGAAAAAAGTGGGCTAATAATTCTGACTTCAACTGCATACAGTATGTGACCTTTAAGATCTGGGCATGTTGTATATAGAAAGTGGTATTTGTATGCCTCTGAAGTGGAATAATGTAATGGATACATGCAGTGAGTAAAGCCAAACGAAGATTGTAGAAATTAAATTGTTGCTCAATAGGTGGTGATAAACACCCATCTGAATGTCTGTCACTGTATTTTTTATGTTTGATTGGGCTAATCATTTTTGATTGAAGTCTTTATATGCAGGTTATTTAATCATTAACTAAAAATGAGATTGAAAAATATATATAATATATAGATATATATATTTTCCACTGATCTATATTACAAGTTTTCCTGTAATCTGCTCACGGTTCACTTCTCCTCGCGCTCAAACATCACCGTTGCGCTCGATTAATATTGGCATTGATTTGCCGCCATACTCGTCTTTTTTTTTTTTTTTTTTCAACCGCTTTTTGACCAGCGCAACATTTGGGTGTAGCACTTCATGGGTGCAACCTGCATCATTCCATAGGTGACATACGAGTAAGTGATTGATGAATGCGTTGCGTTGATACTTCGCCACCACGGCATTTTGCAAAATCGCAAGCATGGGCAAGTGTTTGTTTGATGACAATTGGTTGTAGGACGAAAAGTATCGGGGGTGGCTAAAGAAAACAGCCAGTAATCATAAAGGGAGGTGTGCTTTATCTGAAAAAAATGATAAAACTGGGGACAATGGGCCGCAAAGCTCTCGATTCACACATAAAAGCAGAGAAGCACATAAAGTATGTAAAGTCGCAGGCAAGTAGTTTGCCCATAAGTATGTTCTCATCGAGCACTTCGACCTCAGCCTTCCACAAGGCCGTCCACTTCAAGCAATGCCTTCAGCAGCTTTGCGAATATAGTTACATTTAAGGCCGAAATACTGTGGGTATTTCAAACTGTAAACCGCCACCACTCGTAAACCTCAAATGAGGACGTCCACCTACTTTTTCAAGCAATGTTCCCTGACTCAGAGTGTGCGAGTACGTTCACATGTGGAAGAGACAAAACAGCATATTTAGCATGATTTGGTGTTGCCCCATACCTAAAGAAGAAACTAATTTCACAAGCAAACAAGGATGCTTTTATCATAATGTTCGATGAGTCCATGAACCCAGCAACGAAGACTTAGACTTGCACTTTAGACGTTGGTCAACTGACGAGACCGGTACCCTGTTGTCAGGGTTCTAAGGTCAATCAGCACTCTGCATAAAAGTTTTTGCTTCCCTTTGACCAGTCTTGAGTGTGGCTATGGTGAGTTGTGCCATGCACAAATGCTAATGCTTCACCACATCATTCTGTGTTGACACACTGAACATTTTCCTGTTTTATTTTTGTTTAGGTAAAATCTTAAATTTTCATTTTAGAGGACTTAAAAAGGTCTTAAAGATATAAAATTTCCTGTTAAAAAAACTGCAGATAACCTGTATTTGAGGTGCACTATTTGCATGCCATCTGTTGTCTGTCAATGACAAGACATTATGTTCCCCCCATAAAAATAGAATAAAATCATTTATGTCTCTTACAGCTCACTGGCTAAGTATAGATGGTGTCCAGCCTGCAATTCCAGAGAACCCACCTTCTGGTAAGTGAGATTTCCAGCCTTTTTAAAGTCAAAGTCAATACCAGCTTTATTGTCAATTCAGCCACATGTACAGGGCATATAGAGAATCGAAATTACGTTACTTTCAAACCCTAGGTGCCTAACATATAATGGTAATATAAAAAATAGTGTTTTAAGAAAAAGAAAATTTATAATATATACAATTGTACATAAAATGTGGTCTAAAAATATACATAAAATGTTGTCTAAAAATATACATGTATTATGAATAAAAATTACATAATACAATGACATTAAGGGCATATAGCAAATAAGTGCAAACCAGAGTTGTGCCGATAAAGATCAGTATAGTGCAAAAAGGCTTGTAAACATGATAATTATGATAAATAACGTGACAGTGTCATATAGGGAGAGGTAGTATGGTGTGTCTAACTGGTAGACCAGTGTTACATAAAGTGACCAGTGCAGATTAATGTGTGTGTGTTTGTCTGTGTTTGTGTCTGTGTCAGTCAGGCAGTCACTCAGTCAGTCAGTCAGTCCTTCAGTCTGTTGGTCCTGGCCTTGAGACTTCTCAGTCTCCTCCCTCATGGCAGCTGACTAAAGAAGCTGTGCATTGGGTGGGTGGGATCTGCTGTTATGCAGAGGGCTTTTCGGGTGAGACGGGTTGCTCCAAATGTCCTTGAGGGAGGGGAGAGGGACTCCAATGATCTTCTCAGCTTTTCTCACTATGCGCTGAAGAGTTTTTCTGCAGGTTGCATTGCATGTTCCAAACCACACAGTGATGCAGCCGGTCAGAACTCTCTCAATAGTGCCTCTGTAGAAGGTGGCTTGATTGGGGCTGGTGCTCTTGCTCTTTTAAGTTTGCGGAGGAAGTAGAGACGCTGCTTTGAATTTTTACATTTTTTTTTTTGGCCAGTGCAGTGGTGTTTTTAGTCCAGGAGAGATCCTCAGTGATGTGTACACCGAGGAACTTGGTGCTGCTCAAACTCTCTACAGATGCACCGTTGATGTTCAGAGGAGCATGCACAGTGTGCACTTTTCTGAAGTCAACAACAATCTCCTTTGTTTTCTCCACATTCAAAAAGAGATTTTTGTCTCTGCACCACTCAGCCAGACGGCTTACCTCACTTCTGTAGTTTCTCCCATCGCTTTTGTTGATGAGACCCACCACAGTAGTGTCATCCGCAAACTTGGTAAACAGATTAGAGTTGTATGATGGTGCACAGTCGTGAGTCCGCAAAGTGGGGGCTCAGCACACATCTCTGAGGGGCCCCTATGTTTAGAGTGATGGTGCTGGATGTGTTGCTGCTGGCCCGTACTGCTTGTGGTCTTCCAGTGAGCAAATCCAGCAGCCAGTTAAACAGACAGGTGTTGAGCCCCAGCTGGACCAGTTTTTGACTGAGCTGTTGAGGATGATAGTTTTGAATGCTGAACTGAAATCTATGAATAGCATTCGAATATAGTTTTGTCGAGATGTGTGAGTGCTGAGTAAAGTGCAGTGGAGATGGCATCATCAGTCGAGCGGTTGGACCGATAAGCAAATTGAACAGGGTTCCAGGGAGGGGGGAGGACAGACTTAGGCCCCGTTTACACTAATGCGTTTTAGTTTGAAAACGCATAAGTTTTGCTACGGTTACGCCAACCGTCCACACTACGCCGGAGTTCTCGAGCGCCGAAAAACGGAGCGTTTCGAAAACGCTGGAGAGGCCGTTTTCATTCTGAAACGCTGCTGCTCCGTCTCAGTGTGGATGATGGAAAACGGAGACATCTGAAAACGGAGGCGGGGCTGCTGACATTCGCCTCTCTGATTGGGGCTTTTCCTGAATATTAAGTAGCCTAACACACACAGTTCAGTCCTGCTTTTTCTTCGTGTAAGTTCAGACTTTGCATGTTTGATCAAGGCTGCAGTCTCTTCTTCTCAGTTAGATATGGAAAACAGACTATACCGAGGACACGGGTAAATCTTTAAAGGGAACAGTGTACTTTATAACTTCATTCACATCACCCTGGCTACGTTGTTTCACTTTCTCAACAATAAATTGTATACATGATTTAAGCAACTGCCTATTTTTATTTTAACATTAACAACTAAACAGACAGCAGAAACGTTGAGGCGCCGTGCTGCATGAGCGTCATCTTCACTGTGTGGATATTTATAACAAAACGGAGCCGATAACAACTGCCTCCTTTCAATTTCAGTGAAAATACGAAACACACCCTCTCCTTTGCTGAATATCAGTTTTAATAATCGATAATGGCCATTATAAAAGTATAACATACAATAAGTTTTTACATTATAGGAAATAAAGGCAAGCGATCAGTCAATATACAGTAGGTGAGAGTTCAAAGTGGCTATTAACGCCGCGGCTGGTACCGCCGCCGTTTGAAATAGGTGCCGCTCTGTTTTTAGTGTATGACCGCAGTTTGTGAATGAGCCGCCAGGGGGCGCAAAGGGACGGGATGCGAACGGACAGAAATAGCCCATACAGCTACTGTGCTTGTAAATGATATTAAACAATAAGTCAAAGCATTATAATTCCTTCATTAATCATTTAAAATTTGTTAACACGCTTTTAAGTGCAAAAGTTTTAAGTTGTAAACTTTTTAAGTGCAAAGAGGATTCGTTTTGGAAAATAGAATTGAAGAAGTAAAAGACAACTAAAATGAAAGCATAAACATTTAGTACAAATAAGTAGTCTTAAATAAATAAATAAATAAATAAATAAATAAATAAATAAAGCAGCCTAAATATAGAAAGATGTTCAGTGTTTGCTATTTTGATAGGACTAAGACAAGACATTTTCATTTATGTTTTATTTCTGTTTTTATTTCCATTTTCGTTGTTGATTATATTTTACTATCTCATTTATGTCTCAACAATTGTACATAAACGAATAATAAACGAATAATGAAAATAAATGAATAATGAAAATAGGCCTAAATAAATTATTTATTTAAAGACATTGCCGTACAGTACGTGAAACACTGAGAAAAATAAATTGACCTACCTTAAGCAGATCACTAAAAGTATAATAAAATTATTTTTGCCGCAGGACATAAATTAAGTCTTGCAGGTTTATTTTTAATAATTTAGTTTCAGTTCTGTTCAGTTTTTTTTTTTTTCAAAACGTCAATGTTCTCCTTTAAAGTAGCTATAACTGTTGTTTTGTTTTTTTGTTTTTTTTTTTACTTATGGCTCAGTATGTTTTGTATTTTAACTTCATATTCAGTCACCTTGCAAATGTGTGTGAAATATAATGCCGCATAACCGCGGAAAAAGAAGAAAAAGCTGTCAAAGGTTAGAGCTAATTCATCAAAATAAGCTATATTAAAATACAGCATTTATGTTAATACAGGCAGAGTGTGAACAAACTCAATGCTAAGATATGCGCTTGCCTTTTAATGCATTTGCTGCCTTTTTATAGGCTAAAGGCAACTATGTATAATAATGTTTTTTTTTCTTGTTTTTTTTTTGTATGGTAAAGGACAATACACATTATGTTATTGATGTAAACTTAGGCTCAAACTTATCATTGATAAATGTGACCTACCTCAAGCAGATCACTTAAAGTATAAAAAAATAAAGTAGGCTATATATATATATATATTCTTAATAAACTTCACAGCCACAAATATAAAAACAACTTGTATTAAAACTGGGCGAGGATTAGAAAGAATACGATGCTTGTTATATATAATTTAAATTTTGATTCCAATTTCTGCAAGCACATTTTTTCACTCGCTACTCTGCTAGAAACTTCGCCGCCGGAGAGCACCTCAATAATGTAAACATTTGTTTAAAGATGGAGCGCAAGATGTGCCGAGTGTCAACATGTGAAGAACGATGGCAAAGCTAAGTGTGATTATTGTAATAAACTAAGTTATAAAGCAGAGTCCCGACCAACAGGACTAAGCATATGCGGTTGGCTCATTCTTCACGAATATAGAATTAAAATAATGGCGCGTTAGGTTCACTAAGCAGCGCATTCTCTCCGCCTCATCGTTTAACCAGCGGGACACGCTGCTGAAGCAGGAGAGACACTCCGTCATTCATAATCTTAGCTGATGTATCGGAGTCGAAAGAATATATCAAAGAGGAATTTTCTTTTAACAGTCCCGATATGTTTAATCTTTTTATTTTTATTTTTTTCGTGTCATTTCTCTTCAGCAAATTAGATATTTTTTAAAGCTGCTTGATTCTTTTAAAACCGAAAGCAGAGTCCATGGTGTTTTTCCATAAGATACTCCTTTATGAATGTTTTAATTTTTTTATTAAAGTCTTTAATGTGCTTTTTGATAGTTTTATTTTATTTCAAGCAGCATCTAAATGCGAATTTATCCTCAAAACTTGGCATGAGAGCGATGCAAGTCATGTGTGGCATAATTGCCTTTTTTCCCTGCGCGTGCGAGATCAATTTCTGATCTTTTTGCAACTAAAATGAAAGCATAAACATTCAGTACAAATAAGTAGTCTTAAATAAATAAATAAATAAATAAATAAAGCAGTCTTTTAACCTAAATATAGAGAGATGTTCAGTGTTTGCTATTTTGACAGGACTAAGACAAGACATTTTCATTTCTGTTTTTATTTCTGTTTTTACTTACATTTTCGTTGTTGATTATAGTTTACTATCTCATTTTATGTCTCAACAATTGTAGATAATAATAAACGAATAATGAAAATTAATGAATAATGAAAATTAATGAATAATGAAAATTAATGAATAATGAAAATAGGCCTAGATATATTATTTATTTAAAGACATTGCCGACATTGAGCTTAAGTTGAATGCAGCTTCATCAAAAGCAAAAAAAAAATAATAATAATTTGACCTATTTTAAGCAGATTATAATAAAAATATTTTTGCCGCAGGACATAGATTAAGTCTAGCAGGTTTGTTTTTTTAATAATTTAGTTTCAGTTCAGTTTTTTTTTTTCAAAACGTCAATGTTCTCCTTTAAAGTAGCTATAACTGTTGTTTTGTTTTGTTTTTTTACTTAATGGCTCAGTATGTTTTGTA